GGATTGAGGGCAGGAGGAGAAGGGGACAACAGAGGATGAGATGGCTGGATGGCATCACCGACTTGATGGGTATGAGTTTGAGTAAACTCCAGGAGTTGGTGATGGATAGGGAGGCCTGGCGTGCTGCGGTTCATGGGGTTGTGAAGAGTCAGACACGACTGAGTGACTGAACTGAACTGAACTGAACTGAACTGAACATCATCTGATGATAATGATGATGACAATGATAATGACAACACATGATAACGATGATCAAAGATCTAACATTGTCTGAAAGCCTATTATGCCGGGAATTTCATGGTTTTCAGCATTTGCTTCCCATAACAATCTTGTGGGTTATACTCATTCTGCAGATGAATGAACCAATCTGTCTTCACACTTCTTATTAGTAGAGGATTCAAAACTAGCCAGTAGTTTTGGACTATACTGTGTCCACCCATTCAGAGGATAGATTTCCAAGGCTTGGCCACTGATTGTTACAAGCCTTCACAGTATGAGATATGTGCCCAACAGGAATCCACTGTGTATTCACTCAGTACTATCCCTTTATCATGATGGTGATGATGATGATAATTATGATAAAAGCAATGATGGTAATGGAGAGGAAATTTTATCTTTTATCCAAGAGTTTTATGTCTGGGGACTCCACGGGTCTCCAAGAAAGGATTTATGCAGGGTCACATACTGTAAGAAGAGTCCAGATTGGAACCTGAGGTGGTGCTAGTGGTAAAGAATGCACCTGCCAGTGCAGGAGACAGAAGAGACAAGAGTTGGATTCCTGGGTCAGGAAGATCCCCTGGAGGAGGGCATGGCAACCCACTCCAATATTCTTGCCTAGATAATCCCATGGACAGAGGAGCCTGGCGGGCTACAGTCCATAGCGTTGCAAAGAGTCAGACATGACTGAAGCAACTTAGCAGAGCACAGTACAGCAAGGTCATGTACTTAACCATGTTGCATTCCTAAAGCCAATTTCATCTTCACCTTATTGCCCAACCAGGAAAAGCAGTATTGATTTCTCAGATGACAGACCTAAAGAACAACGGTCACAATGGCATTGCTTCCTCCACCATCAATGCCTGCAAAAGTATCTTCATGCCGGTTCATAATTTGACTACCCTGGTTCCCAAGTTGTGGGCTAGGACTATAGTGCACGTGGTTATTTAAACAGGAGGCAACAATCATTTTCTCCTGAGCAGTAGGGCCATGTGCCTTTGCAAACTTCCTCCACCTGGGCTCTCCTCTGTCTCTGGATCTGGACCCATGCAGATATCAGAAGCACCGCATCAGTCACACACAGAACTAAAGGCAGTACAACTCAGAGCTGCATGTGCTCAGTTCTGTCTGACTCTTTGCGACCCATGGACTGTAGCTTGCCAGGCTCCTCTGTCCATGGAGTGGGTTGCCATTCCCTTCTCCAAGGGATCTTCCAAACCCAAGGATTGAACCCGGGTCTCCTCCATTTCAGGCAGATTCTTTACCACTGAGCCACCAGGGAAGCCCCAAACAGGTGGACACAACAGAGGCCCTTCTGGAAGTCTGAGCAAGGTGGGTGGGAGAGGCAGATCTTGTTTAAGACCTATCCCCCTTAGCCAAAGATTATCAAAACCAATGTTTTCAGTTACTGAATTTTGAAGTCTTTTTCCCTTTAAAAGTTCCCATCCTTAAGTAGATATATTCCTATGTATCTTATTCTTTTTGCTGTGATGGTAAATGGGATTGATTCCTTAATTTCTCTTTCTGATATTTTGTTGTTAGTGTATAGGAATTCAAGAGATTTCTGTTATTAATTATGTATCCTGCAACTTTACCAGACTCATTGATGAGTTCTAGTCATTTCCTGGTAGCATCTTTAGGACTTTCTACGTGTGTATGTCATCTGCAAACAGTGACAGTTTTACTTCTTTTTTTCCAATTTGGATTATTTTTATTTCTTTTCCTTGTCTGATTGCCATGGCTAGGACTTCCAAAACTATGTTGAATAAAAGTGGAGAGAGTAGACATCCTTGTCTTGTTCCTGATCTTAGAGAAAATGCTTTCAGCTTTTCACCATTGAGTATGATGTAGGTTTGTTGTATATGGCCTTTATTATGCTGAGGTATGTACATATATACAATGGAATATTACTCCATTAAAAAGAATGAAATAATGCCATGCCATTTGCAGCAACATGAATGGATTTGGAGATTATCATACTAAATGAAGTCAGACAGAGAAAGGCAAATATATGATATGGCTTATATGTGGAGTCTTTAAAAAAATGATACAAATCAACTTATTTACGCCAAAAAAAAAAAAAAACCAGATTCACAGACTTAGAGAACAGACTTGTTATCAGAGGGAAGAGTTGGGGGAAGGGATAGATTAGGAGTTTGGGATTGACATGTAAACACAGCTATATTTAAAATAAAATGCTTTTCCATAAAAAAAAATGAAGTTTTTCAAACAGTTTAAAAAAAAAAAGCTCCCATCAAGCCTCCTTGTGAAGGAAAAAGAGAAGAAAGGAGGTCTAGTGCTCTGACTTGCAATGGGGACAGTGATCCTCCAGGTACACATGTCCAGGACAGCCTGGCCATCAGTCTAGAAAAGTCTGGTACCTGCTGCAGGCTGGAGCAGAGAAACCAATGTTAGACCATCCTGAAGAGGGATGTGCCTTGCTGGAGCCCTTCTACATCCTGCCCCAGCACCACCCCTCAGTGCCAGGGGGCTGGATTCAACCAGTCTTATAATGTTGGCAAGTGAGTTCCTGGACCTTCATCTCACTCCAGCCAGAATCCAGCCTGACCAACAAGTTGTTAACTGAAACTTCCACAGCCCACCTCCAGATAGTGACTCTTAGGTGGGGCCCAGAAATCAGTATTTTAAAGATGCTCCCCAGGTGATTCCGATGCAGGTAATTATGCAAGGCTTTGATAAAACATTTGAAGTGCAATCCATTCCATTAACTGTTTCTTCCTGGAATTGCTTGTCATAATACTAGAACGATAAAAGGACTTGTGGAAGATTAGTGAGTCAATGACAGAATTTGGACAAACCTAGTGGCTCAGCAGTAAATAATCCACCTGCAATGCAGGTTCAATCCCTGGGTTGGGAAGATCCCCTGGAGAAGGAAATGGCAACCCACTCCAATATTCTTGCCTGAAAAATCCCATGGACAGAGGAGCCTGGTGGGCTACAGTCCATGAGGTCACAAAACAGCTGGACGCAATTTAGTAACTAAACAACAACTGGCTCCTTAGCAAAAATCAATCAGAAAACCAATTAAATTTAAAAAATCAATTAAATATTGAAACATGATGTGTCACAAGTATGTGTGGATATCAGAAGGAAAAGATAGTCTTTATTCTGTAGGGAAAATATAATTTCTAATATTTACATAGAAGCCATTCTACTTTAAGTGTATTTATAAAGTTTTTACCTTTCAAGTTTTTTTTTCCCACATATCAACTGGGGATGGGATGGAGTGAAGGGAACTGTTCCCTTAGATCTGTTTCCTGTATTACTTTTTGCAATTTACACATATTCTGAGTCTTCTGAACCAGTAGGACAGGCCTGCCAGGAGCCTTCAGGGAGAGATCGCCCCACGAAATAAGACAAAACTTCAGTTTTTAGACTTAAGGCAGCAACTCTGACTATAGAGTGGTATCTTTTGCTCAAATTTGAACTCTAGTCCAATTCCCGAAATGGACTCATCATGTCTGACTCCTATGGATGAGGTATCCTGTGGTTGAAATTGGATGGGACTATTGCTAAGAATTCTGCATCACACTGTGGCCCATGCAATCCTGGAACAGCCCCCCACTGTTTTTGTTGTTTAGTCATGTCTGACTCTTTGCAACCCCCTGGACTATAACCCACCAGGCTCCTCTGTCCATAGGATTTTTCAGGCAAGAATACTGGAGTGGGTTGCCATTTCCTCCTCCAGGGGATCTTCCCGACTCAGGGACCCAGGGATTGAACCTTCGTCTCCTGCATTGGAAGCGGATTCTTTACCACTCAGCCACCTGGGAAGTTCTCTCACTGTGTTAAGCATCATTATGAAGCAGAGAGAAGATTTAGAAGAGTGGGAATTCAACCCACTGAGGACACCAGGAAACTCAGTGGGGTTTTGGCACTGGAGAACTCCAGTGCCAAGCAGGCATGGCAGGACCCAGGGGTGGGGCTCGACAGCAGAGGCCTGGCATGGAAGCCCCCAACTCCCTGCCTATTGGACTTGTTCCTGAGCACAGGTTGAGTCACACCAGGACCCTCCCTCAAAACTGATGTTCTGCAATGGGTTGGGGTTCTATATGCATAGGTGGGGAGCAAGAGCCCACCAAGCACAGCTCAGTCACCTCATTTCTTCCCCATACCAGCCCTGTGAGACAGGTGTTTTCCCATGAAAAGATCAAGTCTTAAGCAAGTGTATCTGTAATAATTGCCAGTTTTATTCCTCTGGCTAAGAGATCCAGAGGTATTTCGAGGTTTACATTTTTTTAATAGTTCTTTCATCAAGAGTTTAGGTGCCCCCATTGCCCTTATAAGCTGGCTGCAAATTATTTGATTGACTCTTAATTAATAAAAAAACTTTAATTCTCTTTGTGTGTGTGATGTGTTCATTAAAAAATACATATAAGCAAAAAGAAAAAAAAAACAGCACACAGAAACAAGCACAGTTAGATTTCTGATATATGCATGTATGTATACACACGCACGCACACACACAATTTGAGACTTTCTCCTACATATGTGAGCTGGTACTAAATATACTGCTTTGTAACCTGTTATGTTTTACTTTACAATATGGAATGAACATATTTTCATGCATATGTGTGAAATTTCCCAATCGAAAAATAGACCTAGAGAATGTGTCAAAATACAAAATGCAGATGCTGAAAACAAGGAAACTACCTAAAACAAAACTCCACCAGATGATTAAAAATAAAGCAAAAGTCACAGATTCATCAGAAAATGCTAACAGAAAGCTGGGGCAAGATTTTAATATCGGACAAAAAAAGAATTCAAGGCCTAAAGCACACGGGATAAGGACGGCTGCGTGAATGTCTTTGCTTCCAATGCATCATCACAAACTTGTTTCTTACTCTTCTTATCTCTTCCCTAAGCCTTTCCAACTCATCTGCTCCTCTTATCATTTCTTCAGGGTCCAAATGCCTAACGGGAGTGTCCTCTTTATATCCCTGACCAGGCTGAGTCATCCCTCCTCTAAGATTTCCTTCTGCTTCCTGGCTTACACCTTCTTCAGAAGGTTGAGGATTTCTTTCTGCCTCCTGTGGTACAGCTTCCAAAGGGCGGTCTTCCTCAGCCTTTGGCATGTTCTGTGGTTTTCTTTCATTTTCTCCACAAGACTTTTGCATGTTGAGTATTTTTCAATTTCTTTTGAATAAATTAACCCTGGAAAACAAGGAAACAAAACAACCAGATACAAGGCAAATGAACCAGCAGCTAGAGTATGGGTTTCCATAGATATTGGCTTCTTCTCATTTAGGACTCTAACTGTCAAAGTTTTCCAACTAGAAAAGGCTAGATCCTCAGGCTCTGAACTCCCCTGGCTCCGCCCCTCTCTCCCCCTCCCCCTCCCCCTCCCGCTCCATCTTCTCTCCTCCCGCTCCAGCCCACCATTTCCCAGCAGGCCCTGCTACAGGCCTCCCCTAGCACCGAAACAGGAGCAGGGAGCAGCTCGGAAGCAATTAACCCCTCCCTCGCCTCCTGCCTCCAACACTCCCGCCCTTTTAGGCTTTCCCAAGCCATTCCAACCTCCTACCTCTCACCTGAGACCGGCTGGTCCAGTCTCTGGCCTCCCCTCCCCCTTCCACGTCTCTCCAGTCTCCCCCCTCCCCCGCCCCATTTCCGCTGCAGGCTCTGCACAGGCCTCTGGCGCTTTATCCGGATGGGGAGAGGCTGCAGTGACCCAGGATGGGCTTCGGTGTTATCCGCACTCACACCCCCACCCCCACCCCCAGGAACAGGAGGCAACTGCACCTTTACACTGACCTGCAGGGATCCAGGGAATTTTCCTCCCTCTTCCCTCAGTCGATTTGGGTTGCTCCCCAAAGACCAAGAGTCCTGCAGACCGACAAGAGTGCTTGGTAAGGAGGTCAGTACCTGAATCACGGGTCCCTTTAACGATTCTAGGCCTTATTCATCTAAACTTTCCCTACGTCCTCATCCTCGCGATCTTTTTAAGGCAACCCTGCCCTCCCTCCCCGGTGCCCACCCGTTCCCTTCAGACAGGGAGTGAGCGACTCAAGTTGTTTCTAAATTGTTTCTGTGTCTCTCTTGGGATCCTCAATTAGCTACCCTTCTCCCTCTCCACCCCCAAACTGCCCAAAATTTCCTGCACAAAAATGGAAGTTTAGCGGAACCGTGGTGTTAGGAAAGTAGTACCGGCTATTCTTGGTTTCTGCTATCTGACTCCTAGACCCCAGGGTCCCGAAGGCAGCGCCTAGCTTTATACTGACCTGAAAGGATCCGGGGCACTTTTCTCCTTCTCCAGCTATAGGGAGCTGCTCCTGGGAAACAGGCCCTGGACTATAAGGACTTCTGCACACGTCGACTCCTGGTCACGTGAGGGTCGCGTCATCAATGAGCTAGAGTCCTCGGTTACTCCTCCCATTTAACACTGCAGCCCGCCCCCTGCGTTCCCTCCATTTGATACTGTCAATCTTTTTTTTTTTTTTCATATTTGCCAATCAGAGACAATAAAACTGGTATCTTCTTCCTGCAGTTTCTCTTCGTCTTTCTCGGGTTACCAGGGAGAATCAGCCTCTCGGGGTGAATAGACAATTTCTCCTTCTTTGGGGAATCATCTCTTTCTCCTGCTTCCAATTTCACCTCCTCTCCTCCCCCCAAGATCCTACAGTCCACCATTTCCCTTGGAGTCCTGTCTAGCATTAAAATGGGCGAAGGGTGGCTAGAAAAGAACCTGGGAGTGAGAGTGTGGGTTTTTTTTTTTTTACTAGTTCTCTTAAATAGTTTTCTGCTTTAATGTTTTAAACAATAAGCTTACTCTTTAAAAATGATGTTTAAAAAAGAAATGCCACATAAGCAATACTTGACACAATATGGAAGACAAATTAGTTACATCAATTTTTAAAACTTTGGAAAAATTTTCTGATAGCTGAAAATGAAATGACAGTTTTCACAACATATTGATGTGTTAGAAAAGGTTTTTTTTTAATCTTATTAAAACAGCGCCTTTTAAAACTGACGCCAAATTAATCGGTGGGAAGAGGCCCAGTTTTCTCTTGTTAGCAGTTTTATGTAAGTAATCCACTAGTTCTTCTCTTTCTGGTTAAACTCACGTTGTAAAGTGTTAGATGTCTGACCGTTTGTGAGGACTGCTGCTTCTGTGGCTTCTGGTTGAGTTTTAAGTGGAGGCTTCAGGCTTCCTCTTCTTATGACCTCTGTAGGATTCAGTGTCTTGCTAATCAGATGAATCTATAGGAAAGCCTCCTTTCCATGGAGTCTACTTTAATTTGGAACTAAAAAAAAAATGTATTGGAAAATAACTCTCACACACTCTTAGAATACAGAAAGGAGAGAGTTCCTGGTGAGTTCTGATAGTTTGGTGTGAGGCTTTTTAGCAGTGGAATTTTCATTCATGCAGGCCACTCTCGAGGTATTCTGCTATCAGTTTGTTCCATGAGCAACATATGTAATTGTTATAATCAGAAAGCAGAGAGAACGTCATTGCTGTAAAAATATTGGTTAAAAGAGGAAACTGATATTCCTGCAACCCAGCATCCACTGGTACTTGGAGGTATGCTGGTACTGGGAATGGCAGTCTGGCCAGTGGAGCCAACTGGAGAGTCAGGGAAAGAGGCAAAGAGGATGGTCATGGTGGGATGTGATAGCCAAAGACAGAGCCCACCACAGAGAAAGCAGGGTTGGAAGAAGTATTTTTGTTGTTTTTATGTTTCACAATTTATATTTAAGCATGAATTATTTATTCCACAGTTGAGAGATACATTTCCTATTATTCAAGGGAGAGTATTTAATATAAATATAGCTATTGAATTACAAAGAGGTAACCATTACCACAAAATATTTCCCTTATATTTAATGGGGGAAATTGATATTTTTAAAAAAATTATTATCATATAGTGAAATTAACCTTGTTTTGGGTGTATAGTTCTATGAAATTTAAGAAATGTATATATTTGTGGAACTACCATCATAGTCAGGATACAGTTCATTCACCCCCCCGCCCCAAAAAAAAACTTCTTAGTGCAGTCATATCTTACCCCCTTCCATGAACTCTGGCAACCTCTCATCTATCATTTTCTCTTTTTCAGAATGTTATGTAACTGAAATCTATAATATGTCACATTTAGAAACAGGCATCATTCACTCAGCATAATGCCCTAGAGATTCATCATTTAAGTTGTTTCATGCATTAATAACCCATTTTTTCTTTTTACTGATTAGTATTTTGTATAAATATGTTCCAGTTTATTTGTCCATTTACCCTCAGTAGGACATTTTTGTTCTTCCCAGTTTTGAGTAATAATGAAAAGAGTTGCTGTAAACATTTGTGTACAGGGTTAGGCCCTGATTGCTTCAAACCAGACTGTTAGGGTAACCTTTTATCTGATCTGTCTACCTTCACACCTCCTTATCCCTTCTCAATTTACTTTGCACATTTCTGTCAAATTAAACTTCACTCTTCCTTATTTTCAACTTGTCATTCTCCTGCTCAAAGGCTCTGGATGGCAACCCATCTGTGAGGTCTATCTTGCTTTTCTCATCCTGACCTTCACTGTTGATCAGAATTGAGCCACACTTGTCATCTACTTTTCTGCCCCATCCAAAAGCAACTCTCATTCACTGTGCCCAAATATGCTTTCTTCTCTCTCTTTGCCCTTGCACCCCATTTTCTTCCTCCTGATTGCATTCCTCTCCTTCCTAGATCCTGGTTCTGCTCATTCTTAGGGACCTAGCTCCATCACCCAGCCTCTAAAAAGCCTCCCCAGCTGGAAGTGAGCTCTCCCTCCTCTGTCAATGCTGCACATAGGGTCTGCACCCCTCATATTGCCCTCAGCAAAGGTTGCCTTGTACCTTTCTCCTTTACTATGTATTTGTGTGTATGTTGGGTGGGGTTATCTAACCAGGCAGATATTCAGATGTGGGTTGCTAATGGGGAGTGGGGGCAGGCTCCAGCTTCAAGCTGCTTGACTGGCTATTGGGATTTTAAACAGTGCATCTCCCAGAAATTTCAGAGATTCAGAAGGAGCTTTATTCCAGTTGTCTCACAGATGAACCTTCCCTGCTTGCACAAAACTGGAGCAGAAATGTCATTGTCTCCTCCTCTGTTTATTCTGCTTATGGGTAGTCAGAACAACCCTAACACCATTTTTATGGAGCTACTGACAGAGGATATTGCCCTGTTTTCCTAAAAAGTCATATGAGAGAGATCAGTCAGCTCACTGGTGCACACCTGACCAAGAGCCAGATGGTACATGCCTTCACCTTCATCTTTGTCCCTGAGCAATTTCAGTACATCAACAGAGCACTCAGCTACTTTTATTTTTTTTAATTTTTAATTAATTTATTTTAATTGGAGGCTACTTACTTTACAATATTGTGGTGGGTTTTGCCATACATTGACATAAATCAGCCACAGGTGTACATATGTCCCCCCACCTCGTCCTGAACCCCCCTCCCACCTCCCTCCCAGTCCCATCCCTCTGGGTTGTCCGAGTGCACCAGCTTTGAGTGCCTTGTGTCCAAAAATCTGTTTCTTTACATCTGTGTCTCTTTTACTGTCTTGCATATAGGGTCGTCGTTACCATCTTTCTAAATTCCATATAGATACATTAATATACTGTACTGGTGTTTTTCTTTCTGACTTACTTAACTCTGAATCTGGCTCCAGATTCATCCATCTCATTAGAACTAACTCAAATGTGTTCTTTTTTATAGCTGAGTAATATTCCATTGTGTATATTACCAACACTTTCTTACCCATTCGTCTGCTGATGGACATTCAGGTTGCTTCCATTTCCTAGCTATTGTAAATGGTGCTGCGATAAACATGGGGTACACATGTCTCTTTCAATTCTGATTTCCTCAGTGTGTATGCCCAGCAGTGGAATTGCTGGGTCGTATGACAGTTCTATTTCCAGTTTTTTAAGGAATCTCCACACTGTTCTCCATAGTGGCTGTACTAGTTTGCCTTCCCACCAACAGTGTAAGAGGGTTCCCTTTTCTTCACACCCTCTCCAGCATTATTGTTTGTAGACTTTTTGATAGCAGCCATTCTGACCAGTGTGAGATAGTACCTCAGTGTGGTTTTGATTTGCATTTCTCTGATAATGAGTGATGTTGAGTATCTTTTCATGTGTTTGTTAGCCAT